CCTCCATGTATGACCATCATGGCCATGTTCTTTTCCACTGACAAAGGAGACTCACTGTCCCCGCTGCTGTAAAGTGGGCTGCCCAGGGTGACGGCTCCCTTGGGTGGTGGGCGGCTCTGGGTCACAGTGTCTGGCTCTGGAGGTGCAGGAGGGAGTCATGGCTGGGGCGAGGTTAAGGGAGAAGGGCTGTAGCTTCTGCTCAAGAAAGGCCTGGCCGACGTCCAGCCAGGGCCTCGAAGCGGAGTCAGGATGGCAGCACAAAAATGACATTGTGGCTGTGCCTGGTGGCTCACAACTGTTTCACAAGCTACTCAGAGGGCTGAGGGCTGAGTTGGAGCCAGCCTAGGCTGAAAAATCTGTGAGAATCTGCAGCATGCAGAGCCGGAGGTGTGGGACAGTGAGCAGAGTGAGAGCAGCAGCCTCAAGGTCAAGCCCTGGCACCAGAAAACCAAAACAGAGACAAACCACCTGCACAACAGAACCGCAGCAAGAAGGCCTAGAGGTGTGCTGCAGCAGCAGAACCCCTGCCACACCGGGAAGGCTTCCGGTGTGACAAATGGCCGCCCGGGAGTCTGTGTGAAAAAGACGTCCCCGTCCCGAGCCCTGCTGTGAGGCCCTCCCCAGAGAGTGGGGTGCGGGCGCAGGGTGGGAGCTGGCCCCTGGACACACCCCACTTTGGGTCTGATTCCTCGTGAAGCAGCAGACAATCATGGCATCTTTTCCTTTTCTTTTTGGCAATGCTGGGTTTGAACTCAGGGACTCAACACGTTGTAGGTGCTCTGCCGCTTGAGTCACATCTGAGGCCCTTTTTGCTCTGGTTGTTTTTGAGCATGCTCTCAGCTCCTGATGAGGACTGAGGGACAGCCGGGAGAGGGCCCTGGGTGTCCGGGCGGGCGGTGGTGATGTTGCCCGCCAGGTGTGTGGGAGGGGAGGCAGGCAGGGGGTCTCACTGGCTCCGTGACCCTCCGCAAAGGGCCTCTGTCTACCCTGGAGTGTTCTTCCCTTCTGTGTCTGGGGAGATAGCAGGTTTGCCTGGTTCTGCACTGGGTTGGATGGTCTGTCATCGAGGACCCTCTGCAAAGGGCCTCTGTCTACCCTGGAGTGTTCTTCCCTTCTGTGTCTGGGGAGATAGCAGGTTTTGCCTGGTTGAATGCTGCACCGGGTTGGATGGTCTGTCATCGAGGCTGAGGTTCCTGGTTCCCGCCCAGGCCTGACATTCAATTGCTTCATCTGTTTCAACCGCCGTCACCGCTGCTACTGAAGCTGGCGATGAGATGCCCTTGTTCCCCGCACGTGTATTCTCAGTCCCAGCGGAAAGCCACGTTAGGGCTGCTTGAGTAACTTGGTCATGTCTTCCGGTAATTGCTAATAAAAGAGAGAAGTCCTTTCTGCCGACAGAACAGGGAACAGATTCCACAGGCAGGGAGTCTCCGGTTCTGCGTGGTTCCACGCCTCGCTCCTCCTGCCACGAGGACGCAGTGCGGTGCAAGGCCGCAATCTGGTGTTCACGGTCTGTCCACGATTGTGCCTGTGGCTTTCCTGTGTCTTGGGGTGAAGATTTTGCTCCCAGGGTAAAAGCGTTTGAAGTTGTTCGGATTAGACGAAATCGCTGTATTTATCTCTCGTGAACGGAGGACCCACGCAGCTTGCTCAGGTTTCAATCTCTCCTACCTGCTGCTTTCTCATATCTGCTTCCAGCAGGGATGAGGGGGCTCCTCTTCCTCCTGCTTTTCCCAAGCGAGGAGGCATTTGCTAACACGGAGGCTGTGGAGGGGCCCGGGTATCTGGCTTGTCCCACGTGGCCCCCACGCGGGAGCTGCCACTGCTGCCCAGTGTGGGGTGCAGGGGATGACGCTCCCACTTCCTCCAGCCGTTCATGACAGAGGTCAGAGCCTGGGCTTCGCCGCATCTGGCCAGAACAGTGTACATTCTGAGATGCCACGGAGTCGGCTCTGGCTCTTGAAGGCAGCTTTCTTAGAGAGTCTCCATGAGCAGAAAAACTGTCACCAGGCCTAAGTGGATGTGTTTCTGGCCGGCACAGGGGCTTTGCTGAGGAGATTTGGTTTAAACTTGTTTTAGCTAATCTCTTAATTTTATTTCTATGGCCAAGTGCCCACAAGGCATTCCTGTTGGCACTGAGACTGGGCAGCGGGGCCTTTTCTGATAAGCTCTTAATCTTCCTCTACTCAGTCCAGTGGGTCCTCTGAGAGTTCTGTTTTAGGCTCTGGGAAATAGCTATTTCAGCCTTACACGTGGAATTTTGTATATAAAACAACGTGTAAAGGGATTAAAAATAACTATAGGTGTGCCTTCAGACAAAGAGGGTCTGTGTACTTTTGTTTTCCTGCCCGTTCCTATTATTTGCAATCGGTGGCTTAAGTTCAAATTCCAGGCCGCAAGCAATGTTGAGTGGCTGGGATTATAGTCACGAGCAAACTCCCGTGGCGGCTTCCTGTCCAGGGCGGGGTTCCTCCCTCCACTGCTGACGTTTTGGACCTGACACGGGCTCCATGGAGCATGGGTGGCTCAGTGTGCGTCTGGGCAGTGTCCTCACGGGGGGCTTGAGTTCTCTTGGTACGTCTCCATCGTGTTGGTGCTGGCTCTGGGCAGTCATGCTTTTTCCACAGTGACCCAAGAGTGATGTGAACAGGCCACCTGAGATCTGGAACCTGTGGTCGCCTCCAGGGGGGCTGAGGGATTTGGGGCGCACCTGACACAGCATGGCCATGCACACTCATGTGCCCACAGGCCAGTCTGGGCCCTGTGGGTTCTCTGGGGCACCCCAGGCTTTTGGGCCAAGGCCTCTTATTTCAGTGTCTACCTTGAAAGAACCGGAGTGGTTGAATCACAGACTCCAAGAGCTTGGCAGACACAACTTTAAACCTCTGCCCTAAAGACAGCAGTCAAAGATGAGAGTCTGTGGGGCACCAGTGGCTCACACCTGTAATCCTAGCTGCTGAAGAGGCTGAGAGCTGAGGATCAGGGTCGGAGCCTAGATGGGACAGGAAAATCCTCGAGATTCTTATCTCCTATTGACCATCAAAAAGCAGGAAGTAGAGCTGTGGCTCAAGTGGTAGAGCACCACCTTTGAACAGAAAAAGCTTAGGACCTCAGATCCTAAGTTCAAGCCCTAGGACTGGTGCACATGTGCATACACACACACACACACACACACGCACACACACACACACACACACACACACACACACACACACACACACACCCCACAAAAAAATGAGTGCTTGAAGGGGTGGAGGAAGGAGCTGTGTCTGGTGTGGGGGTGGGGCTTCTCGTCCGAGAGGCGCTGGCATCGGCAGCCGGGGACCCAGGCAGCCAGGGGCTCAGGCTTTCTCCTGTGATGTCCATGGTTCTGGGACTGCAGCTGTGTGCACGCAGGGCAGTGAGGAGAGTGTGTACTAGGCACAGTGCCAGAAGCGAGGAGCCAGGGACCGGGAATTCCAGCGTTTGTAGCAGGGGCGGAGAGTGCGTTCTCTGGCTGATCTTACAATTTGGTCCCGGGACTCACCCTTTAGGATTTGTCCTTGGCTCCAGGCTGTCCCAGGCTGTACCTAGGCTAGTGTGGGGATGGGGTGGGGCTTCTCGTGCCCCTGGTGATTGGAGGCTGGGGGGGGGGGCGGCAGTCCCCTCCCTTTAACGAGCACCTGGAACAAAGCCAAGGGGACAGGGAGAGGAAGCTCCTGGGACTTCCAGGCAGAGCCTGGACCCTGCGGGGTCCGAGGGATCAGACATAGAGGGAGAGAGAGAGCGGTTCAAGTGCAGCTCAGTTCTCATGCCCGCTCTGTGACCTCTGCGTGGAACGCCGCGTCACAGGCTGAGCTTTTCCCAGCCGTGTGGCATTGTCTTCGCCCCGCTACGCAATTTCTTTTTTTCCCTCAGAAGTCTGTTGACTTCCTGGAATTTTTACTTAGCATTCCGGACAGCCCTGCCGGGCCCCATGAGGGTGATTTCCACGTCTAGCTGTGTATGGCCGTTTAAGGACCAGTCTGGTCTGCGAGGTTGGTCCTGGGCTGGAGCAGAGGCATTGTTGCCCTGGTCCTGGTTAGGAACATTCTGGTGCATGACCAGCAGGAATTTCCTTCGCTACCTGTAGATGTCTGACTGCCTTCAGCTTTCCACACCGAGCAGCAGAGGAGCTGGACTTTACCCTGGCCTGGATGTCAGTTCTTGGAGGCGTAGCTGATGCCCCATTAAAGGAGGAGTGGGGGAGAGCTCGCTGCTCAGCTCTGCCGTGTAGTTTTGCCTCTGTGGGGCTAGCTTCCCCAGGGGCCAGCCTCCCCGCACCCTGTCCTCGGGTGCCTTCCCACGTGCCCCACTTGAGAGAGTGAGGCCAAGGCAGAGGGTGGAGAGACACAGACAGCTGTGATGGAGGAGCCCGGCCTTCCCTGGTGGGTGGCAGTGGACATTCGGGGCTGGGTCTGTGGCTACCTGGACCCTGGGTCTGGACTCTCCCTGTGGCCAGTCTCTGTGGCCAGTCCCCTGTGGTGGTTGTGGCAGCTGCGTGGCCCATGCTGGGATGTGCATTGTCTCATTGGCCCAGGAAGCAGAGTTCTGCCGGTTCACCACCGTGCTCCCCATGGGCTATTGTGCGGTGGTCTTGAAGCTTCTCTAAGGATTCATCCCGTGACCTCCCTCACCCTTGTGGGCATCCAGTTAAAGGCAGCACCTGTTAAGTGACGGTCCCCACAGACACAGGAAGTGTGGAGTATCATCCGAGGCTCCGCATGCACTTGTTTCCCGCTCAGGTGTCCCTAGGACAGCACTGCCCTGCTGCTGGGAACGTGCAGCCCTTCCCGGCTGCCTCCGGATCCACATTGTTCTTGCTTGCCGTCCCCCCCCCCCCCCGCCCCCCCAGCCTTGCCAATCCCGACAAAATATGGAAATCCTGTCCCTGCTCAGTCTCCACCACAATGCAGGGCCCAGCAAAGGAGGTATTTTTAGCCTGGGCCTTGGGAAAGGGCTTAAATCATTCATGCTGTCAGCTACGAGTCTGCCACTGCATCATGTTCCCAGGCCGACAAGCCCTTGTGGGACTGTACAGCCACAGAGCACAGCATGGAGCACAGCACGGAGCACAGCATGGAGCACAGCATGGAGCACAGCACGGAGCACAGCACGGAGCACAGCACGGAGCACAGCACAGAGCACAGCCATGGAGCACAGCATGGAGCACAGCATGGAGCACAGCACAGAGCACAGCCATGGAGCACAGCACGGAGCACAGCATGGAGCACAGCATGGAGCACAGCATGGAGCACAGCCATGGAGCACAGCATGGAGCACAGCATGGAGCACAGCACGGAGCACAGCACGGAGCACAGCATGGAGCACAGCCATGGAGCACAGCCATGGAGCACAGCACGGAGCACAGCACGGAGCACAGCATGGAGCACAGCCATGGAGCACAGCATGGAGCACAGCACGGAGCACAGCATGGAACACAGCATGGAGCACAGCATGGAGCACAGCACAGAGCACAGCACGGAGCACAGCACGGAGCACAGCATGGAGCACAGCATGGAGCACAGCACGGAGCACAGCACAGAGCACAGCCATGGAGCACAGCATGGAGCACAGCACAGAGCATAGCCATGGAGCACAGCATGGAGCACAGCACAGAGCACAGCCATGGAGCACAGCATGGAGCACAGCATGGAGCACAGCCATGGAGCACAGCACGGAGCACAGCATGGAGCACAGCACGGAGCACAGCATGGAGCACAGCACAGAGCACAGCCATGGAGCACAGCATGGAGCACAGCACGGAGCACAGCACGGAGCACAGCATGGAGCACAGCATGGAGCACAGCACGGAGCACAGCCATGGAGCACAGCATGGAGCACAGCACAGAGCACAGCCATGGAGCACAGCACGGAGCACAGCACAGAGCACAGCCATGGAGCACAGCATGGAGCACAGCACAGAGCACAGCCATGGAGCACAGCACGGAGCACAGCATGGAGCACAGCCATGGAGCACAGCATGGAGCACAGCATGGAGCACAGTATGGAGCACAGCATGGAGCACAGCACAGAGCACAGCCATGGAGCACAGCACAGAGCACAGCATGGAGCACAGCCATGGAGCACAGCATGGAGCACAGCATGGAGCACAGCATGGAGCACAGCACGGAGCACAGCATGGAGCACAGCATGGAGCACAGCACAGAGCACAGCCATGGAGCACAGCATGGAGCACAGCACGGAGCACAGCACGGAGCACAGCATGGAGCACAGCATGGAGCACAGCATGGAGCACAGCACGGAGCACAGCCATGGAGCACAGCATGGAGCACAGCATGGAGCACAGCACGGAGCACAGCATGGAGCACAGCCCGGAGCACAGCATGGAGCACAGCCATGGAGCACAGCCATGGAGCACAGCCCGGAGCACAGCACGGAGCACAGCCATGGAGCACAGCATGGAGCACAGCCATGGAGCACAGCATGGAGCACAGCCATGGAGCACAGCACGGAGCACAGCACGGAGCACAGCATGGAGCACAGCACGGAGCACAGCACGGAGCACAGCCATGGAGCACAGCATGGAGCACAGCCATGGAGCACAGCATGGAACACAGCATGGAGCACAGCCATGGAGCACAGCATGGAGCACAGCACGGAGCACAGCACGGAGCACAGCACGGAGCACAGCCATGGAGCACAGCATGGAGCACAGCATGGAGCACAGCCATGGAGCACAGCATGGAGCACAGCCATGGAGCACAGCATGGAGCACAGCATGGAGCACAGCCATGGAGCACAGCACGGAGCACAGCACGGAGCACAGCACGGAGCACAGCCATGGAGCACAGCATGGAGCACAGCACGGAGCACAGCACGGAGCACAGCACGGAGCACAGCCATGGAGCACAGCACGGAGCACAGCACGGAGCACAGCACAGAGCACAGCACGGAGCACAGCCATGGAGCACAGCATGGAGCACAGCATGGAGCACAGCACGGAGCACAGCACGGAGCACAGCACGGAGCACAGCACAGAGCACAGCCATGGAGCACAGGCATGGAGCACAGCCATGGAACAAGACTCCATCTTGGCTGGCAGTTTCTGGCAGCATTAAATAAGGATTGGATGAGTCACTGACTGAGTGCAGGGATGAATGAATGAATGAATGAACCTGAGTCCATGCAGATGTGTTTCTGGAGCACAGAGTCGCTGTGATATGCTGGCTACCAGTGGCCTTTCTGTCCCTTAAGTAGAGTCTTGACCTGAGACTTCTGTTCCCACGTGTTGCTCCGGGTGGCGGGCTGGCTAAGTGGTTGGTGCTACGGCTGGTAGCAGTGTCCTAAATCACAGGCATGGTGATCAGCCCTAAGTCAGTGTCAGAGCTGCAGACCCTCAGGAGACGGCCTGGAGTTCGGAGCCAGCCCTGCCCGGGAAGGCACTTCCTTGAAGGTAGCTGTCAGGCGGCGGTGAGCTGCGTCCTCTCCTGGGCTGCGGCACCAGTGCCCAGTGTCCAGTGCCATCGGGCCCAGTGCTGAGAGGAGAGGCACGGGGAAGGGACACTTCGTTTAGGAATACTTGGCGATCCCCACCCAGACACAGGGCATGGCACTGAGGGGTGGAGGCAGCCTTGCGTTTTCATCCTGAAGGAGGCTTTGGAGGGCTGTGGCGGGAGACAGGTGACAAAAGCACAGTGCCAGGAAGCACCGCAGACGGGACACCTGCTGGCTTCATGCCAGGGCAAGGTCGCCGCCGGGTGCCCCAACTCTCTTAGCACTGGCAATTCAGAGCAAAAGCCCCTGTGGGCTCTTCTGTAGGATCAACACTGGGGCTGAGATTCCTACTTGATTCCTTCCTCAACGCAATCGTTGCCCAACCTTTATTTAAAGCATGTCCTCTCCATGATGAGCAGAAACGTGGGTTTCTCTCTGTGTTCCATGGCAGTTCCCAGGCAGTGGTCCGGTGGGCATCACTCTCATCTGCCGCTGGACAGGCTGACTCTTCCGTACTGCCCACACCCCCGATTTATTCCATAGCCAAGAGGCTATAGACCACTCACTGGAAAGTGCGTTTTATGATCTTGTTAGAAGCAATGGCTCCACTGGGATCATTTCAACTGATCGTTTTATACCTACCTCCTCCTAAATACCTAGGACATTAACTTATTAGCTACTCTGGTGTCAAGCCTAATGCACTTTAAATACTTAAAACAAATCCCAGCATTCGTGGGTCTAGAGACAGAATTTCTTGTGGCTGTTTAGTGCATTCTGGCCTTGGGATGGATTTTAGTAGCCTGGGCTTGAAAGAGCCTAGTTCTGTGTACTTTGCATACAGGAAGGAGGAGGGTGTGGCGTGGAGGACTGTGTGCCCATGGAGGAGGGTGCCATGGAGGATGATGTGCCGGTAGAGGAGGGTGTACTGTGGAGGAGGGTGTGCCATGGGATGAAGCTGGGCTGAGAATTTTACACCCAGGCCCCAGCCTGTTGGGCTGACGAAGCCTCGGCCCCGTTGGCTTGTCAGCACTGAGACTCAGGCCCTTGCCAGCCTGCAGTGGTTCTGTGAGGGTCAGACCTGGGCCCTGAGGCAGGGGCTGAGGAGACACAGACACCACTGGGTGCAGAAAGGCTTTGGGATGGAAGGGAAGTCCAGATTCAAGAAGCAAAGATGCTTCCAGGGTCTGGGAAGAATTCCCAATGCTCAGGCACACATAATACACAATGTAATGACACACATGTGATGTGCATGTGTGTGCAGTATGTGTGTGGCTGTGGTTGCAGGTCACATGTGATGTGCACACGCTTGCATGTGTGTGAAGGTGATTGTAGATCACATGTGATGTGCATATATGTGTAGAGGTGGTTTGTGTGCGAAGGTAGTAGTAGATTACATGTGATATGCATGCATGTGCATGCATGTGTGTGAAGGTGGTTGTAGATCACAGTGATGTGAATATGTGTGCATGCATATGAGAAGGTGGTTGCAGATCACATGTAATATGCCTGTGTGTACGTGTGTGTGCGAAGGTGGTTGTGGATCACACATGATGTGCATACATGTGCATGCATATGAAGGTGGTTGTAGATCACACTTGATGCACATATGTGTGCATGTATGTGTGTAGAGCTGGTTGTAGATCACCTACTTTTTTAATAGAAAAATCCAGGCAACTCTCTCTTCCTCCAGGGCAGTGCCAGTTCTGTTGCTGGCTGGGGATCATCTGTGCTTCCAGGGGCTTCCAGTGTGCTTCCATCTCTGTCATCTTTGATCTTGTTTTTTTTTTTTGTGGGGGGGTAGGGTTGGTTGTGGGGCTTGAACTCTGGGCTTGGGCGCTGTCCCTGTGCTCTTCAGCTCAAGGTGAGCACTCTACCGCTTGAGTCACAGTGTCACTTTCCGGTTTATTGGAGATAAGAGTCTCATGGATTTTCCTGCCCGGGCTGGCTTTGAACAACAATCCTCAGATCTCAGCCTCCTGAATAGCTAGGATCACAGGCGTGAGCCACCAGCGCCCGGCTTTCTGTCATCTTTGAGAGCTGTTCATTCTTGATCCATCTTCTAAGTTGGGTGACAGCGGCTCACACCTGCCATCCTCAGTACTCAGGAGGCTGAGATCTGAGGATCATGGTTTGAAGTCAGTTAGGACAGAAAAGTCCTAAGATCCCATCTTCATTTAACCAGCAAACTACTGGAAGTGGAGGCATGGTTCGAGTGGTAGAGTGCCAGCCATGACTGAAAAAGCTGAGTGAGAACACAAGACTGGTAATTCAAGTCCCAGTACCAGCATACAATAAGTTAATAGATGTGAACAAGTAGATAGAAGGTCCATCTCTGTCCACCTTTTCTTTTCACTATGCTTGCCCTACATGGTAGACAGAATAAGGACCTCGTCTGCTGAGCCTGGGACAGGCCGCAAGGATGTGTGTGGGGTATCCAGCGGGGTCAGTCAGGAGGGCACTTTCAGGTGGAGACAGAGCGGAGTTGGAGAAGAAGAGGAAGAGGTAAGGTTAGAGGTATAGAAAGTGCTCAGCAGGCGATTGCTGCCTAGGAGCCTGGAAGGAGGAAGGCAGAGAGAGCCAGGCAATCTGGGGTGGGCAGTAGCCATGACCTGACCTCGGTGGCAGCCCCCTTTCTCCTCCCCTCCCTTTCCATTCCCCTCTTTTATCCTTCCACGGGAGACTGAGCTGGGAGACACAGAGTGTGCAATGCTAGACTTCCAGCCTAGAGATGACAATGGGTGGTTTGAAGCTGTTAAGTTTCAGGCAATGTGTTTGGGCTCAATGGAGAGTGGATCAGGTCTCCCTGGAAGGCCTCATTCCTCTCCTGATGTCAGCTAATCACGCAACACACACGGTCTCACTGCTTTCTGATGTCAGCTAACCATGCAACACACTTGGCTTCACTGCTCTTCTGACGTTAGCTACCCACGCCACACATGTGGCCTCATTCCTCTCCTGACGTCAGCTAGCCACGCCACACATGTGGGCCTTGTTCTTACCTCCCTGCATCCCACACCTCAACACCATGGTGTAGACATCCAAAGGAACACTCCACTCCACAGGCTAGAAAAGGAACAGTCCTTCTCTCCTTCCCAATTCTTTGCTGTTCTTTTCCACTGCCCACTGGCCAAGCCAGAGACCCGAGCTGGGCAGAAACCTCTGGTCCTCTGTTGTGGCCTCGCTGTCATTGGTGGTGGAGACACCATGCCTCCGGGCCCACCCCGCACTGAATGGCGGCTGGCCCCCAAGCTCACATGGCCCGTTTCACCTATCAGCATCTGCTCCACTGCCAATCACGTCTTCACTTATTGTCTGCCTCCTCTTGGAATGTCAGCTCACATCTGTTTTATTGTATTTGTTCTATTTAGGAAGTGGTAATGTAATAGTTCACATGTCAGCTGCTGCTCAAAGCCCTGTTACAAACACCCACTTATCTGATGCCGCTTTTTTCACTATTATGGCTGAATAAGCAGTTGAGTAGTTGGATCCAATCGAACCCTGAATCCTGCCAGTTCTAGTCCACAGTAGCTGTCAAGTCAGCCCACCCATTCTAGAACAGCAAGGCCCAGGGCATGAGAAAGACTCCTAAGGTTTCCTGAGATCGAAGAACGGCAGACCGCGCCTGGATGACACAGAGCAGCTGAGTGAGGTCAGGGACAGAGGTGACGCCTGGACGGGAGCAAGTCCAGTGGACCTC